ATATATATATATATATTATAATTAGATTTCTAAAAGTCTTTAATTGAGTTCTGGAATTCTTGAATTTCGACTTTGGAAAGTAACTAATTCAATGTCTCTCTTCTAGAAATAACAGGAAACCAAATCGATAAATCACTTACGCTCCATATGGCTTATGTCGTCCCTTGGCATTATCTTGTATATTATTCTCGATCCTCGGTTACTGATGCTGCGATCGAGACGTTCTGCTTTTGAAAATCTCAGATCCAACAACTTCTTGAGTCTCTCTTTCATACGGGGAAGTTGAATTAAGAGGTTCACTAATTCCTGTTCACTATGACCCGAAAATTTCTCACAGGTTTCTTGGTTTAACTTTTTTCGGATCTGTGTAAAAAATCAGAAGTAGTATAACATGGAATGAAACAACGTCACTGTGTGCTATTATGGAATGGATTTTATAAACTATGTGAAAACTTTTTGTCCAGGAAAATAATTTACCACTTTCTCAGTGACGGTTTCCTTCTTCTTCTTCATCTTCTTGTCCTTCTCGTCGCCTGGACGTGTTGATGTTCGAAATCTTTTATTCGTTGAAGTAGGTCTTTTGCTGTGAAAAACGTTTTCACTGTCATCACTGTCCACTTCCACAACACTAGACCGCTTTCGGCTGCTCTGGGCTGGATTACTGAAGGAGTTTTGCTCCAACTTCTTTATACGCGCTTCGAGAAGAATGTTGTTTGCACGCAGTTTAGCTATTTCTTTAAATACACGAGGTTGTGGCTTCATCTTCTGGATTGGTTTCGCTTGGAGGAGTTGATTGACATTTCCTGCCGATGAGAACATCTGAGTTTCGCTTTCGGGTAGTCTCTCTACGAAAATTTTAATCTTCTTCGCCCCAGACAGCAGGATATCACTTTTAACTTGTAGTGAATCCTGAAATTATGCATATTCGAGTCAGTCGATTGAATCTGATTCTTTTACAAAAAGACGCAAAATATCAATTGTCAGTATGTACAAAGGATGCGTGTTGGTTTTGTCAACTAGGAATTCAATTACTTACATTGCTTGGATGAACCCCTATGGAAGACGTTCCTGGACTGTCGTTGTCATGCTGGTCAACGAGATCATCTTGACGTTCCTGACGATCGCCCTCCACTTCCTCGAGGTCAGCTTTATCAGCTTGAAGAGGCCCCGCTTCCTCCCCTCCCCCAGCTGCAGAGGTTGTTTCACCATTTTGCTGCTCCACATCATCTTGACGTTCCTGACGATCGCCCTCCACTTCCTCGAGGTCAGCTTTATCAGCTTGAAGAGGCCCCGCTTCCTCCCCTCCCCCAGCTGCAGAGGTTGTTTCACCATTTTGCTGCTCCACATCATCTTGACGTTCCTGACGATCGCCCTCCACTTCCTCGAGGTCAGCTTTATCAGCTTGAAGAGGCCCCGCTTCCTCCCCTCCCCCAGCTGCAGAGGTTGTTTCACCATTTTGCTGCTCCACATCATCTTGACGTTCCTGACGATCGCCCTCCACTTCCTCGAGGTCAGCTTCATCACCTTGAAGAGGCCCCGCTCCCTCCCCTCCCCCAGCTACAGAGCTTCCTCCATCAGGAATCTTTGCTTCGGGTCCTACTAGTACCATGATGTGATTTGTATAAAAAATCTCGAAAATATCCATAGGAACTCCATCCTTTTTGGATGCCTCTTCTGGATCCATTATCAGCAATCCTATGAAGTTATAGAACGATAAAATAATGTTCATGCTACGAAAAAACAACAATAGAATTGGATATTTTATTTACAATGCATTTCTACATTTTATGTATGTTCCGATAATGATTGTCCATATTTTCGAAAAATGTAAAGAGCAATAATACTATCTTCTGATCCTTAGAAAGAGTCCATGACAATTCTCGGTTCTCATGAGAGAGTAGATAGTTTGGTCTTGGTAATTCGCGGGGCAAAATATCAACTCTCTATTATTGTTATTATTATCTTCAGAGTAGACGGTTAAGGTTCGGTGTATTTTTTGACCGTTGTAACTAACTGGGGCTGTTATCTCTGAACTCTCAACATTCTCCAGAGTTGAGAGCTAAGTTTCGGCAGTCCTGGTTAGTCTCTGAATTATCAATATTGTTCCGAGTTCAAGAGTTCAGTTTTGAGGGTTCGAAACGTTCTTTGAACTCTTAACACTCTATATAGTTAACTTCTGCTTGTCCCGAATCTGGACTCTCTACTCCGGAAAATGTTGAGAGTTTAGGGAGCTGTTAAAACCCTCTGAAACTGAACTTTTAACTCTGCAGAATGTTGAGCGTTTAAACTGCCCCTATAACTTCATGGAAATTAACTCTCAACTCTGGAGAATGTTGAGAGTTTAAACTGCCCCTATAACTTCATGGAAATTAACTCTCATCTCTGGAGAATGTTGAGAGTTCTGAGTCCCCCCCCCCACCTCCCCACCCCCCTGCCCAAAACTAAAGTCTCAAGTCTGGGATATTGTTCAGAGTTGATATAGCACCGGAAACTTCCGTTACTGAACTCTTGAGTCTGGAGGAGGTCAAGAGTTTACGTATGATAAAATCCTCTTGAAAATCCTATCGAATTCAATAAGAAATTCTATAAAAATTCCATAGGAAATTCTATTATTTTTTTTCCGTACCTATTGACATATTTGATAGAAAATATTCTATAGAATAGTCAATAGAAATCGATTTCCTATAGAATTTCATCGGCTCAAATTTTATAAGCTTTTTTCTTTGATGTCCTTGAAGGAAAGAAAAAAACTTGGAAAATTTGAGCCGGGAAAATGTCTCAATAGAATGATTTTTATATAAAAATTAAATTCCATTTACTTTTTCTATATGATATTTCCTATCAAATATGTCTACCGGTACGGCAAAAAAATGATAGAATTTCCTATAGAATTTTTTATAGAATTCCTATAGAATTTCTTATTGAATTCGACAAGATTTTCTATAGGATTTTATCATCCGTGTTCTGGGAGCTTCTGAAAACCCCCGAAACTGAATTTTCAACTCTGGAGAATATTGAGAGTTCAGAGAGCTCTTGATACCTCCCGAATCTGAACTCTTAACTGTGGAGAATATTGAGAGTTCAGAGAGCTCTTGAAACATCCCGAATCTGAACAATTAACTCTGAAGGATGTCAAGAGTTCAGAGAGCTCTTGAAACATCCCGAATCTGAACTCTTAACTCTGGAGGATGTCAAGAGTTCAGAGAGCTCTTAAAACCCTCCGAAACCGCACTTTCAACTCTTGAGAATGTTGAAAGTTCAAACTGCCCGTAAAACTTCCTGGAAATGAACTCTTAACTCTGGAGAATGTTAAGAGTTTAGGAATTCTAATAGCTCTCTGAACTCTAAACATTCTCCAGAGTTCAGGGAGCTCTTAAAATCCCTGAACTCTTAACTGAACTTTCTGAACTTGAAAAACTGAACTTTCAACTCTGGAGAGCTTTGAGAGTTCAAACTGCCCCTACAACTTCCTCTTAGAAACCTTCGAAACTGAACTCTCAACACTGAAGAATGTGGACAGCTCAGAGTACTACTGACCCCGCCGCCCCCCCCCCTCGACCCTCCTCCGAATCTGAAGTCTCAACTGAGAAAAGCATCACGTGTTGAGACTGATCCTCAAACCCTCCAACACTGAACTCTTAAACCTCGAAATAAAAGTCTGAACTACTAGAAAAATTTAATCGTTCCAACTCTGAACTTGGTCCGCTAGGGTACCTACTCTCTCAGATGAGTCGAGAGTTGATAGCTCCCTGGTGATGCACCCGAAGCCAACTATCTACTCTTCAAATAGTACAGTTGGATACCTTATGAGGGTTTGAGTATACCGGCGTCAGAAATTACAAGGGTCAGACCATATTGCAACCAACCCCAACTATCTATTGTCTAGAAAAAAAAGGAAAATGGTAAAAGGTAAATGAATGAATAAATCAAATAAAATGTCTAATTGTTATAAACGACAATCGCCCCTAGACTGCTCAGATGTCAAGGGTTGGGGGAAACGACCTGTTGATCCATCTATCTTTCAACTCTCTATTGTCTCACCGGTTGGAACAATCAGTCTGATAAACTATTCTATCCTATCCAAATGCATTCAGCTTCCTCTACATTCTCCAACAATTCATCAAAATATTTTATGAAAAAAAATAATGTGATAGAACTTACTGTATTACTGCCTCGTGATTGTTGTATGGCGTTGGAATTGGGTACCCGGAAGTATCACACAGGATAAGTATTTAATATTATGATTACACTTCTTTCTTTTCTCGATGATTTGTCCTTTCAATACATTAAAATATATAAATTATTGAGGTACTAACATGTAATCACTCGTCCGGTAAATGCAGGCGAAGACTTGACGGCTAACGCAAGACTGCCAGACGGTCGCGCGAATAACACACTCGTGCCTGGGTTCCGCGCAGTCAGTCATCCCCCCCACGAGAGCCCAAGATGTTTACATCGAGTTCCGAGAGCCCCAATCGCCTGTGTTTTCAGAGGATTTGTTTTGTTTAGGATTACGGCTCACTATTCCACCTCTCTATTTACTCTTTTTTCGTCACTTCGATCGATCAGTGTTTATGAAAAAAGTGACGGGGTGAGACTGAAATATTGTGGAGAAAATAATTTTCTGTATTTAGAGATTGTGATTATTGCTTTTTGTAATTGTAATAACGGAACACTACTTCTTATACTGGGATGTCTGAGACTAATAAAAGGGGAGGACGTGCGAAAAAAAAGTACGTAAAACATACACCAGTGTACGTCAAGGGCTACAAATATCGTAAAATAAAGGAACTGAGTAAAGGCTGGTAAGTATATATTTTATGATACATATGGAATTTTTGAATTAAAATATCTATGAATTTTTTATTGAATGGTTCACGGAAACTCTTACAATGGACAATTTTCACCATTGGAAAATAATTTAATAACGAATGATCTACAATTCATCATTGAATTTCATCGCACGTGTGATTATTTATTTGAATTTATGAATAATTGCATCTTTCAGGAGAGTGAAGTGTACAAATACAGAGGGTGGGGAGCATTGCACCGGAAGGGGGTATTATCTTGATACCGGGATTTTAATTCAGAAGCCTAAGGAACGGCATTCGGGCTGGTGTTTCCCAAAACCACATGCAGAGGATATAGATTCGATGAAGGAAAACTTCAAAAACGAAGTATCCCACAGCAACCTGCCACCAAAGACAATATTCTATCATCATGTCGACGAGTAAGCCATTAATGGGATAACGTTCAGTATTAACATTAGCCAGAGTTAAGAGTTCAGCTTCGGGGAGGTGGGCTTAAGAACTTTCTGAACTCTTAACGCTCTTCACAGCTGAGAATTCAGTTTGGAACGGGTTGAGAAGCCCTCGAGCTCTTAATTTTGTCCAGAGTTGAGACTTCAGTTTTGGCGGTGTTGAGAGCTCTCTGAACTCTCAACTTTTTTGACAGTTAAAAATTCAGATCCGGATAGTTTTGAAGAGCTCTCTGAACTCTGAACTCTCTGAACTGAGCCCTTCAAGTATGGGGGGTTTAGTGCCCGAATTGTACGTACGGCTAGGGCCACTGATCTATATCTATATTGATAGGGTGGAGCCCGTACGTGAGCTGTGGACATATTCCCCAGAGTTAACAGTTCAGTATTGGATCTTTTCGGTGCTTTCTGAACTCTCAACATTTTCGAGAGTCAAGAGTTAAAAACTTTCAGGAAATTTTAGGGGCAGTTTGAACCCTCAACCTTCTCTAGAGTCAAAAGTTCAGTTTCGGGGGTTTTTAAAAACTCCCTGAACTCTTGAAATCCTCCAGAGTTAAGATTTCGGTATTGGCAGTTTACAGTTGTGTGTATGGGGGCGGCGGGGGGTAACGAGCACACTGAACTCTAAACATTCTTCAGAGTTGAGCGTTCAGATTCGGGATTTTTCAAGAGCTTTCTGAACTCTCAACATTTTCCAGAGTTGAAACTTCAGTTTCGTGGGAGTTTAAGAGCTCTCTGAACTCTAGACATCCTCCAGAGTTAAGAGTTCAGCAACGGAAGTTTCCGGTGTTATATTAACTCTTAAGATGACGCAGCCTTATGACGTCAGTATGGGGGGGGGGGACTCAGAACTCACAAGATTCTCCGGAGTTGAGAGTTCAGATTCGTGATGTTTCAAGATCTTTCTGAATTCTTAACATTCTCCAGAGTTGAAAGTTCAGTTTCGGGGGATTTCAAGAGCTCTCTGGACTCTCAACATTCGCCAGAGTTGAAAGTTCAGTTTCGGGGGGTTTTAAGAGCTCTCTGAACTCTAGACATCCTCCAGAGTTAAGAGTTCGGTATCGGAAGTTTCCGATGCTATATAAACTCTTGACATTATGCAGGCTTAAGATTTGCGTTTTTTGGGGGGGAGGAGCTCGTTGAACTCTCCACACTATCCAGAGTTAAGAGTTCATTTTCAGGAAATTTCAAGGGTTGTGTGAACTCTTGACATCCTCCAGAGTTAAAAGTTCAATATCGGAAGTTTCCGGTGGTATATTACTCTTAAGATGATGCAGACTTTAAACTTTAGTTTTGGGTGGGT